ACACGACCCGGTGTCGAATCTTTGGGTTCTACTCCGGTTAAAAATTTTTACAACAATGGCCAAGCATCATGTAATCGATTGTTCGCCATGGATGAAGAAGCTCAGAAGAATACAGAATCGATGTAGGCTCTGGATACGTAGAATATCGAAGATCGAAGAGAGAGATTGGGAACAAATTTTATTTCATCACACCTGAAAATAGTACATGCATGACCGCATTTATAGTTCTCACGCACATGAAGAAACGACGTCGTATTACAACATTACTAGGCTAGGAACTAAACGACGCCGTATCAAGTTGAAAACGCAACATGTTTATGTAAGTCATACGCGATTTATTCTAAGCACTATTAGAGCAGTTATAACTGCATATTAAACCAAAAACAACACTTATAATATGCAAAAGGTCAAATGTAACTCCTTATTTCTACACATAAGTTTGACAAAAATGTACAAGTCCTAACATTGACAAAGCTGTTGCAGAATTCTGGTGGAGTAACAGTGGGCTAAAGAAGAACATCCCCTGGAAATCATGGAGTGTCATCACCTTACCTAATGAGCAAGGAGGATTGGGTTTCCAGGATATACACATCATGAACAAAGCTCTTATCACAAAGCAAATCTGGAGGATCCTTTTCAAAGCCCAATCTTCTGGTTAGTTAAGTCTTAAAGGCAAGATACTTCCACAAAGACAACTTCTTCACTATCAACAAGAAGCAGAACAACTCATGGTTATGGAACAACTGGATTGAGGTGAGAGACTCTCTAGTGAAGAACCCTCACATGGTGGATTGAGTTTTTACATCAGAAATGGCAGGAGAATCAATATCTGGAATCAGCCATGGATCTTTTGTATTCCTAAGACTACTAGTAGGCAGACCAGAGCAACCTAACTTGGGTGAGTGAACTTATGGATGAAACCATTGCAATACCCAATAACGAGTAACCGCACATAGCGGAATACTGGAAGAAAATGGAACACAGACACTTTTCATTCTATGTTTTTCCCTATGAAAACTGCAGCTATTCTCAAAATCAAGGATCTTGATCCCAATGGAGAGGACATGCTTGAGTGGGATGGTGCTGACAAAGGTAAACCCTTCTCAGTCTCATCTGTTTACTCTAGCTTAATAAAAGACAAATAGACTGCTCTGGATCTTGCTGAGAGCAGTAAAGATCAGAAATCAATTGCAGGGATGAGGAAGAGAAGTTGGTCTCTCAAAATTCAAGGAAAGCTGAAACACTTCCTCTGGAAATGTGTTACAAACACCCTCCTAGTGACATGTAACCTTTGGAGAAGGAAAATGGCATTGGACCCAACTTGTTAATGATGTGGTGAAGGTGTGGAAACTGTAGAACACCTACTTTTGAACTGCCCTATCTTCTCTACAGTCTGGAAATTGTCTCCCTTGTGCTGGTATGGCCAATCTCTAGACACATCATCTTTCAAAGATTTGTGGACTCAATTATGCACTCTTAATCACGCTTCTAAATCTAATGTCTAATGACAGGCTTCAACTTAATGTGTACATCCTGTGGGAAATCTGGAAAGTTTGAAACCTATGGACCTTTCGAAAAATAAAAAAACCTACAGTTTTCATTGTGCAATCTGACCTGGGTAGCTGGAATGAGTATACTGCTTCTCTATCCCCTTTATCTTGCCGAGCATTGGTTGTACTTGACTTGGAGGATGTGTCTGCTGCCATCACACCTAACCCTTTTGGTTCTGAATGCTGGGGTGACATCTTGATCTTGCTGGCTGTGAGAAGTTTCCTTGCTTCTATAATGCCTTTTTTCTTGTGTGGTGGTATCTCATTGATGTCATGCTCTACTCTAGGATTGTGTTAATGAGTATATTAGAATAAAATTTAAATATAATAATTAAAGTTGATTTGATATAAAGTAGGAAAAAAATGATTAGAAGTGATGGTTGGTTAAAATTATGTGAGTGGATGAATAATGAATTGAAGTTGATGTGATGTATAAGAACGATTGATTGATATTATTCATTAGATTGATAATATAGGAGATAGTTGAGTTTGTGTTAAAGTTGAGTTAAATTTAAGTTTTGATTAATTTGTTTAATGTACAAACCATAAACAATCACCCCTAACTAACCCAATAGGAGACATGTTGAACCAAAAACTGACAAACAAACAAAAAAAAAAAAA